TTTACGTGTTCTATTGAGATAGGGTAAAATCACTATTGCATATTGTAGCTTTTTTTGAATCTAGAAGAAAAGTTGGACTTGCTTGAAATATATGGCCCTAAAAGGGCCAAAAAAAGTTAGCTTTTTTCGACTTTAGAAGAAAAGTTAGACTTGCATTTTTGGACCGTCGTACTCTTCCAAATGGGTTCTAGTGTGAGATAGGGATAGGGAGGAAAAAAAAAAAAAGGCTGCATGATTGGTAACAGTTAAAAAACTATTAAAAGGTACAATCAATATGGGAACAGACAAGGCCTAAATATTTTCGTTATCTGAAATAATTGATAGTTATAGATGAGAAAATAAGTGATGATAATTTCGAAGGATCCGCCCAAAGACAAATGTTTACGAATTTGTGATTTTGTAAATTTTGATTTTGTCATAATTTATCTTATAAATAGAGAGTCGTCATTGAGTATTGTAATAGAAGAGAGAGGGAGAGAGAGTTAAGTTAGAAGGGATAACTTGTGGAATTTTCTGTTATAAGCTACTTTTCACTATAGTGAATTATTAAAGATGACGTTATCTTACATTGAGACGAATCTCTATAAATTTTACGTTTTTTTTAAACAAAAGAATGGACAGAAAAATGAATTAAACGCGTTAATTAAGGGTTTTGTTCAATATATCTCACTTGGTAAATTATTGCTAGCTTTTTCCAAGTAAAGACACTTCAACGAAGAAATTAAACGGGTCTTGTCGGCTAATTTGGCATATATTTGTACACATATGCATAATTTAGATCTATCGCAATCTCCCAAGTCCCACATCTGTTTCTGTCACCCGTTAAATTATCATTTATTTTTTCTCTCTCCTTATCAACCTCACATTTTTCAATAAAATAATATTATACATAAACATAAAATTTTTCTTCTTTTTAACTACAATTTTTAAAAAAAGTACTATTATCAAATCAAATTCTCATTATAATATGGAAATAATGAGAATCAAATAAAGGCTGAGTTTGCTTAGTATCATGTCTTTACGCCAATGTGTGTAGATTTTAGTTTTTAATAAAATTGGGTTTGCAAAAAAAATAATAAAAATAAAAAAACTCCACAAATATTTTCAACAAACATGAAATCAACACTTATTTAAATAGCTCCCAACCCCAAATCAACCACCCCAAAATTATCTTTTTATAGATTAAGTGGTTGTGCTACATAATATGATCTTAATTTATCGGCCTAAGTTCAACATTAATTCAACTTATACTATCAATATAACCAAAGAAATACATAATGATTATGATGACCATTGTGCTCAATATAATACGATTTAATATGAAGAAGTGTCAAATTGGAAAAAAAAAAAAATGAATCAGCTATTCACAATATATATATCATAAATAATTTCAGTTAATCATAATTATAGTCCACAAGGCTATCCAGTTAAGGCAAAAACACACAAAATAAAATATTTTTTGAAAATTTTCAATATTTTATGCATATCATACGTACAAACAAATATGGCAAACTAACTAAACTGTATCTAAAAGTTAATTCATACGTTGTCCACGATGTAGAGCAATTTATAATTAAAAGTATAGAAGAGGGAAATTGAGACTTGCCAAATGTTAATAGAATGTGGTATATGAAGCTGAAACTTGAAGAATATTCGATCCTTTTCCCTATTTCTTTCTATTTTCATATATCTTTTATGCCGTATTTTCATATAATGAGGATCATGAATTACATTTGCAACCCCTAAGCAATGATTCATATTCAAAC